AACTGTGTTGTCAAAGAGGATTAGAAATTGGAAGATGTGCAGAGAAAAATTGTTTCTTAAGCTCTATTTTTCTCTTGAGTAGGGCCTCCAGGAAGCACAAGCTATGATCATCCATTCATGGTATCTCTCTCTGTTATGAAATACTTCTACATGCTTGTGCTAATTCCTTCTGAGATACTGGCAGCACATAAAATTATCACTTCTTGACTTTCATTTGAACTCCTTAAAATTAAGTCACATAACTGTCAGTAGCTTTTATTGCAGCAACAATTTTCAAGCAGAGACCTCAATGACTTCAATGAACTTTAAAGCCAATGGACCAATAAAACACACACATCAGGTTGTACCACTCTTCTTACTTAATTTCCATTTATATCCACAGACCTTCACAGGAGTGACTGACAAGGAGCAACTCCAGATAATCCTATTTATGTGCTTAGGTTAGCAGGAACAGTGAAGAAGCCCTACAAGCTCTCTCACAGCAACGTTAGGGGCTCCAAATGAATTTCATCAACATAGGGACCATTTTTTCCATTAGAGGAACAAACTAACATCTTTTTAGGAGGGTATCGTGGCTGGTTACTATACAATGCAGTCAGCAATCTTCCTCTGTTTTTGTGCATTGTTTTCCTCATCTGACTGCCAGTGCTGTGATGAATGAACTAAAGTCCAGGATTGTTTTTATGGAGGAAGCATGTAATTTCTGTTTCTTGGTTATATCAGCTTCAAGATAGTTTTAAATATATTCTTTGGAAAATCATCATGCAACAGATTTGCTGCTTTGTGACGATATAATGATTTTATCACTCCTAAATTTCCTCTTTCCATTAGAAAAAGAAAAGAAAATCAACCACCACTATTTTACCTCATCTATCAATATTAAAAATACCTTATTAGGATAGCTGTCCAAAATGCTTTTCAGAAGCATCAATTTAAATTACCTTTCATTCAACCACAGCTGCATAATTATAACTATTATTATTATTATTTACTGGATACAACATGTATTTATAAAAGTTTGAAAAAATATTTTTAGTATTGTCACTAGAGTTACGTATTTGTTCATATTCCAGATACAGATAAAAAGTTAACAGAAACTGATGTTTTCAGATACTTGGGTTTAAGAAAATTTTGTTCCTCACTTATTTTTAGGGAAAAAGAATTGTTTGGCTTTTCTTGCTACCATTGCTCCAAGGTTGAGAAAGAGGTGATCAGTTTTTGTTTATTTCAGTGAAGAGTCTTTGTGTTAATTCAAGAATAACATTATATGGATGTTGTTATACAGGAATTGACTAGATATTTGGGTTAACATCTATGACTGTGTAAGAATAACATTATATGGATGTTGTTATACAGGATAATTGGGTTAACATCTATGACTGAAATGAACAGAGGACTCAAAAAAGGCAACATGTTAACTTGGCAAAATACTTCACTGGAACATATGGGACTAAGTTTGATTAGGGACAACTAAAAATTCATTGATTTCTTTTTTTTTTTTTCACTTACACCACTATATAAGAAGAATCAGGCACGTCAAGCAAAATGTATATGTACAAATTTATCTACCTGACACTACAAGTATTTCTTGAGTAAGCACAGAGGACACATTCAGCGATTCTTGCACTCTGCATGTGCATGCAGTGTTTTAGATAGTGGGGTTTATTTTAATTGCTGGCTGTACACTATCTGCACTGCCTGCTGGAAAATTGTCTATCCACACAGTGTTCTCCATTACTGATTTCTAGTTTTAAACTGTATAACAGGTAAGTAAAATCAAATACCCTTCAAGTAGTCTATTTTGATGGAATAATTGCTACCGTTGTCACAGTGATCTTGCATCCTCGTAGGTAAAGGATCACAGACAATGATTATAGGTATCAGACTGCAGGGGATAAACAAAAAAGTTTAAGAACTCTTGTTTTTAAAACTACCATTTGGATTATGTAGGTTTTGTTTAATTCTATTTATTTATTATTTTATATAATGTACTCATTCCTCAAATTCTTTCCCCTTTCTATTTTAAGAGCGGGAGTATTGCTTCTAGGCACATTCCCTTTCTCCTTACCTGTGACATGCATAAAGGCTCCGTTCTTGCCAGCCTGCATTAAGCACTGCAATACAATTATCCTCAGTCACTGGACTGTTATCTCAGGGGATTGAATTAGAATTTCTAGCTTAGAGAACATCACATTATTTATACAAAATGTTATAGTTGAAACAGATCCAGTTTAGACTATTATATGATTATGGTTAGGGTAGAAAAGATGAAAAAAATCAGATCACTGATTTAAAACAGAAGTAAAAGTTGAATCCGAATCTGGGGGTAGCTGTTGAGACTCTTATCAAGCAGGCTGTTGCCTATTCAGAAACATGGAAAATCAGTTTTCCATTTAGCCTTGCCTCTCAGTTTCAGCTGTAAAAGTTTCCTCGAGGAAGGTTTGCTTGGGACCAATAGCAGTTCTGTGGAAAGTTTCAGTGTCAGTTTTCCACAGATACAAACTATCAGAATTTTCAGTTAAGAAATATGAAGCAGCCTTAGACTGATGTTCAAAAATACTCCTGATAAGTCCCTTCTGTTGTGCTATCTTGAACATAATGGTTACCTACAGAGGCAGGAAGGGAAGTGTTCAGGAAATCACAGAATCATATAAATTGGTTCTTTTCCTGAAAAGGGTGTAATCTCTTTCATTTCTCTCTCTCTTTCAACATAAGCCAAAAACCTCTGAGATTTCATCTCACAAAAGACTATCTTAATTGGCTGATTGCCCTTAGAGCTGAAACACAAAATGTTTAGTTAGCATTTGCTATGCATCTTAAATCGATACAGTTTGTCACAATCATTATTTAAGATTACTCTGTCAAGAGTATGTCAATGTATCTTTCATCCATGAAGGCTTTATGATTTATAGTCCTGACTGTTCTAGGAGAAACCTGATTACCATTTAAACATGCTTTATATATTTGGATTTTACTTGCATTACCGCTCTAAAATGTGACAAGAAATCAACATGGAACAACACTTAGGACATTCCCAAAGTAAAATATCCCCGAATAGACTTAAGAGTTTTCCATTAGTGCTTACCCCATACCTAGATGTAACTTCTTACCTCCACCCTCCAATGTATTCCCATCAGTGCCCATTCACCATTCCCTCCCCTCACCATAAAAGTCTTCCCATTAAACATGATGAAAGCTGTTGCACCAACCCACCCGCGTGTCTGAATTTAGAGGGTCAGTCGCTTTTTACGTGCATCTCAAATACGTGCCATTTCAAAGCAGCCTCCCACATTTGAGGTTGAGCCAAGCGGGAGTGAGCACCACTGGCCCTCTCCCGGGGTCCCTGAGCACTCCCAGGCCCTCTCCCATGTCCAGCTCCTGGGGCATCGCTGAGCACCCGCAGGTCAGGGGAGGCCCTGAGCCAAACTTCCTCCCACTGGAATGACAGGAAAACTCGGCTGAATTCAGTGGGATGGAAAGGAGCCCAAAGGATGAAAATACAAAGATAATGCTGTGGGATGCTGATGTTGGATAGTTTCTTTTGTGATGACAGTTATAAGATGCTATGTTTTCCCTTCCCGAAACAAGGAAGCTTTCATTTCTTTGCCAGATAGAACTGTGGTGTCTGTCGCCATTACTCTTCTTTTATATTTTTTATATTATTTAAATTAAAATCATTTCTGAAAAACGTTTCTTCCTTTTTTCCCCATATACAGGCTAAAATATAAACAGGTAGAGATAAGTAAAAATCCAACCTTTATTCCACTTTGAACAAGCTTGTGTATATCCAAAAAAGGCTCCTTGAGTATGTCTCCTTCAGGACTGAAAATCTTCACATATCCTTCTTTCTCAAGAATAAAGAGGCGATGGGATCCATCCCCACAATGTACTGCTCCAACAGGCTGCCTTAGTCCACTCACAACCTCCTGAATACAGAAGCAGTTGTGCTTGTGTTTTCTAAAAAAATTTTAAAAAATAGTGAGAAATTTCTTTTTTCTTGTAAGCATGACACAACAATGTCCCTAAAAAATAAAATGATTGTTCTGCAGTGATACTAAAACCACAGTTATACCATCCAGAATAAATTACTGCCTTGAATGTACGCAAGTAGATAATACTGAAAATCAGTTTGAACTTCACTTGAGCAAAATTTGGTTTGTGTACAAGAAGGAGAAAATTAATTCATCTTAGATCTAAACTGGAGAGGAATAGGAAAGAAAAAAATTGATAAAAAAGGGAACAATTTATAAATATACAGTTTCTACCTTACGATAAACACAGTAAATTCCAGCAATTTGACAAAGTTCAGCTTCTAAACTCATTTGAAAATAATGACTTACAATGGGACAATCTAATTTAACTATTTTCAGAAAGAAAAATACATGAATGAAATAAATTGAAAATAATGAAATAAATATTTTACTAATAAACTTATTGTAGTTGTTGAGTAATATTAAATTTGGGTAGAAGTGACTTCCTAGAACTGTATATGATCCATAGGGTGGATCAAATCAGGATTCTAACACCTTTTCAGCAATGCAAATATCAAATGGTACTGAAATATTGAAGCTAATGTAACTTTCTCTTTTGACACACACTAGCAGCAGCAAAAGAAAGTAACATCTGGAAAACACAGCTGCTGAGCATAAGCACACGCTGAGCTGTTCCGCTGTGAAAACCACAGGCTTTGCTAGGGTTTTTTTTTCAGATTAAACAGCATTTATCTTTATGAACCTGCTGATCTCTTCCTCTTTGTCATATTCTTCCATGTGGTCCAGGGAGTTAGAAGCTGGCCCTCGCACTTGTTTTCTTGGAAAATCTGGAAAGCATACACCACCATCTTTTCTTGCATAGTAATAGCAAAACTCATCAGCTGTAGTTTGGAGAAAACCTTAAAAATGCAAAAGAGCATACAAATATTTAGTGTGTTGTCATGTCTGCAGTTTTGTGCCATCAAACTAATCTTTAAATAGACTATATATTGAGTGGAAAAAGAAGTCATTTTAAACAAAGTGCTATCTGCAGAAAAGGCCTGCTCTGAATAAATACAAACTGTTACCTTTTATAGCTTATTCATCTGTATTTGTATTGAACCTTATTTTCAGTGTGCTTAAATAAAAACACCAATTAATTCAAAATTACACTACAGCTCACTCATTAAAAAGTTAAGAGGCAAAGTTCAGAGTAAAGGCTGTGATACACTTTTCCCTCATTTTAACCCTATTAATCAAGTGTAGTATCTGCTGTAAAATAGCTTGAACAGCTTTCATTTAACTTTTTTTTTTAAGTGGCTTCTTGTAGTAAGAATTTCAGTAAAGGCTTCGGTAAAGGACATGCAGTAAAGACTTTGTGGAATGCTGGCAGCAAAGGACAGATCAGTTGGAGAGGTGAATAATTAGTTGTCTCAGAAAGCGAGAAGTACTGCTGAAAACTGCACCGTGTTGACATGCAGTTGGCCTCTGACTGACTCCCAGCATTAGCGTGGGTGAACATGGTGTCCCACTGCAGGGTCTCCTTCCTCAGCCTTTATCCCCTGAAAATGGGGATATGTCTTATGCTGCATCGGAGCTGGCTTTAAGCTGGCTTGGATGAAAGGCGGTCTTTAGGTTTTAGGTTAAAATGGGAAGGAGTTTGAAGACCAGGGAAACAAGAAGTTGGTAAAATGAGAGCCTTTGAGGAAAAACCCTGCCACTACTAGTATTACACTATGTTTAATGACAACAAAAATATCTGTTTCTGTCCACAAACCTATCTCTAGTCTTTTCTTTCCAGTTCTTAATCATTAGTATTAAATCTAAGGAGGCAGAATTTGGCTAGTTATACATGTACTATTTTACTAAAACGTTGTTCAGATAATATGTCTTAAGTTACCTTCATTCCTCCTTGCATTATTGGCATCCTGTGTTAGGATGTACTATGGTCCAGGACATAAGTCATGGGATACACAGAATTAGCACTTAATTGGAATTAGAGGCCTAATTTATGCATGGCTTTACCACTTGTGAATAATGCAGTAATCCATAGATCTTGGCCATAAAACCTCTGGCTTACAACATACAATAAGAGCTGATCAGGGACAGCTGTGTTTCATTGGAAAATGCCAATTTCTTAAATGCAAAGCTTTTTCAGAAACATTATCAGTTTTGATAAAATTTTAGTTAACATGATGTTCCTGGTCCAAACTCAAACTTCTGGTCTAAATGAAAAAGAGACAAACAGACAGGAAACCGTATCACTACACTCCAATGTTCTGTAATTAGGGTGTTTGATTAGGAAGAGGAATATTCAGGTCAATGCCCCTCATCTGTCAGGCAAGAGTTTGACCCTAAGTCTCCCATTTCCCAAGTAAATGTCCTAACAACGACTTTATTAGCTATCCTGGGGTGGTCTCTCTGTGGCTTTCTTCATGGAAAATTTCGAAAGAGTTCAATTTCTTCCTTATGTGGAATAGGAAAATTTTTTAGATCCCAGAATTTTTGTGGAGTGGAAAGCCTTTCCCACCCAACTATACTTCTTTTCATATGCATCTTCCTTTAAAAATATTGGAAAAATAACACGACAGAGCCTGCCTTTGGTTTCTATAAAATAATATCTGGAAACACATGGTAGCGTGTTGTGGTGTAAAAGTTTAATTACCATGATTTGGAGCTTCAGTAAATATCATCTCTGAGGAGCTGGTTTTAATTTATAGTAGTTATTTGGAGAAAACGGGAGATACAATTTCAAGTGGAACAACTGAAGAGGAACTCTGATATAATCACAGAGTAGTATTCCAAGGCTTGTAGATATAATGCCAAAATCAAAGGTAATCTAAAATCTTGCTGTTGAATTATTTGACTTAAGAATACACAGTTTTGTCTTTAATGATTTAGTTCTCTAGGTCATTCAAAAAAATGAAGTAGCAAATTAGAGGTGTACAATATCTAAGAATTTCTAGAATTTTCCAAGTATATAATCTACTATTTACTAAAGATAAACTACTCTTGGCTTGAATGTTATCTTTAGTCAGAAAAACCGAGAGCATATTATGATCATATTGTTTACTCGGTACATGTTCATTTCAAATAACAATCAGATGCAAACTCACTTGACTAAATATAAGATTAATCCCTTTTCCTTAGGAAATATTTTATCATGCACTTAAGTACGTGTTGCACTGCAGTTGCTTTTTGCTATTTAGCAAACCCATCAGCAGGTTCCAACAAAGGATAAGGCTTATGTTCCATTTTCCTTAGAAATGCCCATAAAAAAGGAGGTTGAATTAAACTATGAAAATCAGTAAATTGCTGAAGTGTTGTGTTACTGGAAGGAATGTAACCTCTGTAAATAGAGTTTCACCTGTGTTTTAGGGATGGGATTTTATTCTATAAAAAATGCAGTAATTTACCAAAAAAATCTTCTTGTGTTGTATGTGCTAGATTCAACATGCTAACAGCTTCACTAAAGACAGTTAGAAAAACACTTGCTCTCCTATCTGCTTGTAGCCGTTTAATGTTTTCTTTATCGTACTTAGATTGTAAGGTCTTTAGTGTAGAGTTTGCCATTTTGTTCAGTGTTTGTACAGTGTCCAGAAGAATGGTCCCTGACAAGTGCCCCTAAGCACTAGAATTGTTTGGAGAAAAAACAAAAATCATTTTGCTCTCTCCGAGTTTATTCAAATACAGCTCTGTCACTGTCCTCCATGAGAACTATGCCTAATAAGGACTGCAGCATTTGGTCCTGTGTGAATTTCTGTACTTGTTACTTTATTTTAAAAGATTCATACATATCATTATACATTTCCTACCAGCTGTGTATGTGTTGACAGAGCAGTGCCCGTGTTAACAAAGAAAACCAAAGTCACAAGGGAAGATTAAACATAATGTTTAAGTATTGTACATGTCAGTTTTTGCACAGGCTTGCATTTCTATGCTTTCGAAACTTTTCTGTCTTGCAAACAAGAATTAAACTACAGACTTTTCAGTTAAGGCAGTTACAGTGAAGGCTTTCAGTGTTCACCTTTATAAAAATCTGGGAAAAAGTTGCACAATTTCAGGCTTTTTCAAAGGAAAACTTCTGCTCTCAGCAGATCCTCACTGATCCTCTTTCCACTCATACTTGCGGTCAGTTATTCCTCACACTGTATCTTCCTTCCTATCCTACCTTCACCAAATTCGCTTCCCTGGATTCCCTGCTTACCCATCTCCCTGCCTCTTCTCTTTGATACACAACTCAAATGTCTGGTAGCATTTGTCCCTGCCTTTACAGCAAGTCAAGTTCCTATTCGCTCCTTTCCTTGTTTGCACTGCACACAGGATTGAGTGTCATCCACTTATCTGAACAGACCTACACTGGCTTAGGCAGCATCTGGAAATCAGGCTCACCTGCTTTATTCCTGCTATGACCTTGAGCATACAGTTCAGCATTGTGTAAAGGAAGCATTTTCCTGGTTTGGGTTTTTTTTTCTTTCCTGATTTGCACTTTTGACAGCTAGATGTGAATTTGTTCACAAAAAAACCCCATTCTCCTTTCTCTTCTCAACTCTCAGTGAAAACTAAATCAAAGAGGCGATTCCAGACTCACTGTTTCAAAATGTAGTAAGTTCCGTGGTAGCTCACATAATTTCATACTGGTTTTCAAGTGACTGGTGGCCCTCTTCTCATACTCACACGCTGCACATACCTGCACATAGGCAGTGCCAGAGTTAATCCCCTTGATGCTTTTGTTAGCAGTAGCAACTTTATGAGCCACTTATTTTTCTGCAGGTTGACTATGTTGACTGTGGCTATTAGTCAACTACGTTAGAATTTCTGGAAGTATTGTGTGGGTTGCTGAATTTCTTAGATTTCTGCATTTTGGGCTGGGGTGCCCCTGTTTGGAGTTAAAAAATTCGTATCAAGCATCTGTTCTGGTAATGCCTGGATTCAGATCTGGGCCTGGATCTGAATTCACCCACATCATCTGGAACCCATTTCTTCAAATGAAAATAATGGAGAACACACAGTTCAAAATCTGTCCTGTGTCCTTGGATGGCAGAATGCACCGTGGCTGTAGCACAGGTTTGTTCCTTAGAATATTTCACTTCCACTGGCATGGATCAAGTTTCTGCTCGTGCTTGAAGGGAGACTCTGCCATGCCTTTATTTACTAGCTATATCAATAATAAATATTAGACAATCTTCTCTTATGACCTTGGAAAACTTAAAATTCATACTGATTGAAGATACTTCATTAAGTCACTTAACTCCAGTGTCTCCATCAGTAATCTCTTAAACTGAGGCTTACAGTAAAGACCAGATGAGAAATAATGAGAACAGTCACCTGGGATGAAGCAGGGAAGTTCTAATCTCATAGACTTTGTGAAACATTACACCCTCATGTGTTAACATATCCATACAGTCCTAACAGCTCTTGTTATTATTCTGTTTGAATAAAGAATCAGGTCCTTTTTTCCTTTGGAAATTCCTAAAGAAGGCAATGGAAGTTCTGATACAGTCATAACTGGTGGTCAAACTGTTGTCTTCAAAAGAGTTAACCAAAGTCTGCTAGAGTTCTCGTCTTTGCAAAAAGAGACAGAACAATAAATTATTTTCTGAAGTAACTAACTGATGAAAAAACCTGATGTATAATTTCTCAGTCTTCTTGGTTAGTAAGTACCGCTAAAATTTCAATTCCAGAAAAGATGCTTACTATCTTAAATCATTAATAATATTTCTCATTTGTGAACAGTTAAGGGATAAAACTGTTTTTGTAGTCAGTGATTTCCTTAAACTCCTTTGTATTGGTGTTCAGAAACAATTAGCACTCCCTAATGGAGGACGAGTAATTATTTTACTTTTTAACAAATGCACAGTGAATCATTGCCAGAGACCTTGGGTTTGGGGGCCTGTTAATTTCCAACTCTTTCTTTAATGCTCCAGGCTAAACTGAAAGCATAGCTTCCACATTTTCTATTTTTTTCTTCCTTTTGCAATAAAGATTATTATGGATATATGGGTCTCACAAGTAAAATAGAACCCACCCCCCCCCAAAAGTTTTTATTTTAATTATTTATACTTTAGAATGTGTAAGACTATTAAACTGTATTAAAATCCTATAGGCTGTCTTCTCAAAAAGATGGATCTGAATCTTACTTTATTGATACCTTCAGGAAATCCTAGTATAGGTATCAACAACCATATGTACCAATCAAGTCACCAAATTAACCCTGTTGGTGGATGTAAGTATGCAACAACTTTTTGTTAGTACAACCCACTTTCAGAACAAGTATTCAGAATGATTATTAGCATCTGATTGATGTAGGAAAACTCCTATTTTAGCTGACGCTAAAGTATGCAAGCTCTTTTCCTGCAAAGCACAGTGCTCTGTCCAGTGCTAAAGTTATGCTTTCATCTGGTTATCTTTCAAGGCAACCTGGGTGGTCACAAAAAGCACTTGACATCTTGATGCACTTCAGCAGTTTTACATATACACAAACTTTGTAGAAAAATAAATTTGTCATTCGTCACCACATATGTTGATCTGAGGAGTGAGGTCCCTGTGGCTATAGCTCCTGTGCTGCTCAGCCCTTTCTCATTCTCTCTCCCTTCCCTCCGCCTCCTCCTTCTTTCTCCCTTTTCCCTCTTTCACTTTTTCCAATTAAACAAATTGTTTCCTCAGAAATACAGAATTTCACAAAACAACTATGAGGGACTTGCTCTGCAGAATATGCTAATCATATGCACTAGCTACAAACTCATGTCAAAAGAAGTCTTTGTGCTTACTTCTTTTTTGTAATCTATTCTGCTTTGCTTTGGGGAATGTGATAAAGAGCAAGGAACAGCTGGTTTAAGAAAGCCTTAGAAACATCTCTTAGTTTATAAAGACAATAATAATATTTTCATATTTGAATGGGTTGAGATACATGTTAAACCACAGGAAAGGGAAAAAGTAAGTCAATTCAAAATGTTTTCTCAAGTCAATAAAAGAACGCTGCAAAAAATCTCTGCACTCTTGGAATTTCAGAGAAAACAAGTACACACTGTACACACGCAATTAAAAAAACCCTCCTCCAAATCTCATCCACTTAAACTATCCCCTTTACTCAAATATGTTTATATTATATTACAAAGCTGTGTTTATATGTCAAAAATGACTATTCACAAATTCATTTTTCATATCGTTATCAACTCTTTTTTCCAGTCTGTGTTGCTAGTAAAAAAAAAAAAAATCTTAACCAGTTTAATTATTTTCTCCTGTGTGGCATTACTTATAAGTAGTGTTTGGACAGGGAAAAAAGCATAGTTTAAAAATGACAGTCTTAAACATTATAAATAATTTACTACTGGGAATACCAAAGATGTTATTTAATATAATAGTGTATTAAGACAGTATTTCTAAAAGAACCATCTTCTGTGGGTATTTTGTTGATACAGTTACAAGTGGTAGCACACATTTGGTGACTGCCTTAGACAACACAGGTCTAATTCTGGTTTTGGTTACGTCCAGTTAACTCTTACTGAATACAGTGAGGAAGTGTTAGGTTAGTTAAGAATTTGGTTGTTAACGACATGTTGGAAGTGATTCAAAGATCACAGAAGTCTATCGAATAGCTCCCTTTGATTTCAATGGGCTTTAAACCCCATGGAAATAACATCAGTTTCTAGGGTAACAAACCAGAAAAAACACTTCACTCACCAGCTTTTAGACTCTACAGCAAACAGCCAGCATCCTTTATTTCTTGCACTTTAAAGCTATCTGTCATTTAGAATAGCCTTTTGGATGGCCAACTGCTTGTTTACACGATTTGAATGAACACTCTCTTACTTCAGCAAAGGTGATAGTTTCAGGTGCCTTTGACAACAAACAATTCCGTGTTTCATGGAGAGTTTTCTTAAGCGCTTTCTTAAGCGCTAAGAATATTTTCCTCGCTACTTAAGATCCACTGTGAAGACCCAGAGATATTCTGTCTTTGCTTGGGTGAAATCCCCTGGATATCAATGAGGATTCTACCTAGTGAAGAGCTGGAGGTACAAGCGCTCAGGCAATATCAACATTTCAAAACAGACATCCTTTAGCCCCGTATTTTGTTATAGGTTTTACCTGGTATGTGACCTCTGCAAGTATAATAGAATTCTTTACAATAGTCTTTGCACAGGTAGGGAAGAGTTAGTTCTCTTTCAGGTGTTTCCCCTTTCTCAGGTGAGTGGAATAGGTTCTGAGCGTGAGGTGAGCAATGTGCACATTTGATTTCCTCCAGTAGCTTCACACATTCTGTGTTGTTGGTAACAGAAAGTATCTGCAAGCCACAAACCAGAGACAAATAAACATATGACCTGTTCCCCCATCTTACACAAAAAAAAAGTTTGCATGATCTAATGTAATAAATAATGCTAGCAGAACCAACACAGTATAAATGCATCACGTTTCATGTCACCGTACCGGAACGGCAAAAATTATTACTGTGAAATGTGCAATATGTCATTAGTACAGTGAGATTTTCAGCGCTTGCTTATCTTTCTCAGATAATAATAGTACTCAAGTTATCTTATGGACTCATGCCTGCAATCTCTTAATGACATAGGCGATCTCTGAACTAGAGGGATCATCTATGTAAGGAGGAGTGACAACAGCAGGCCTTGTACCCACTTCTCTTATGAGAAATACTTAAAACCCTAACTTGTAAGGTGACCTATTCAAGTATTTAGAGACTAAAAATTAAAATACTACCATCAAAACACATCAGGAAACCCATATCTAGGTATTTGTGAAATAGGTGTACCTTGAATGATACCGCAGTCCGGCTACTGACTGCTGTGGTGTTCAGTTTTTTTTTCACGCTTTAAATGCTGCTCTGCTTTTTGCTGTCTCTAATGCAAACTACTTGGAGGTGGGAAAAGCTGTATGTTTTCAGACATTTCTTTTTATAAGTGAAAAAGGAGAATTTGTTCATAACATCTTGTTTGTCTCAATATTGAAACTAAATTTGTCCTGAAAAAAGAGCATATATTATGCATAGTACTTGAAGAAGCACGAAACCACGATTGATGATGTGTTTAAGTAAACACAGGAGCCTAAGGAGCACAATGTCATCAAATCGTGAAAAATAATGGAAAACAGCATAGCCGTCTTTATTAGCCTTTGAATGCAGTGCACTTTGTTAATCTATTGTTAACCACATGGATTGTTTTTTGATCATTCATCCCAATGGTGGGTAGTGGGAAATGTGTTCTCAGTTGAGGGACTGAATCTGATCCAATGGAAAAACAAAGCTCAGGTTCTTTCTGCTATTTGTTTAATGCAGTTATAAACAAAGACTGTAAGACACTTGTATGAAGAAACATTAACGCAGTAAATATTTGTATTCTGTAAAATTTGTAAATATTTGTAAATAGCGCATTTGAAAATATTGACATTGACATTGCATTACCTAAATTACTTTTGATAAAATAAGTTAATTCAATGCATGAAGACTCTTGCTATGTTTGAGTATGCTGTCTCATACGCCAGCTCTCTTATAGGATGCAGGACTTTGATAACATTTATTTACGGATCATACTTACATAAACCTCAAACACCTGAGAGACATGCACTCTCCCGTGTTTTAAACTGATACGTATTCAAAATGTTATACAATATATGGCCTGAACAGTTATACAAAATCCTATTTAAAGGAACCTTAATATAGAAGACAAATTCTTTCCAGGAAAATTTAGTCTTACCATACACATATTGTCAAAAGGCCATCTGAAATGTGTACTGAAGTTTAGTGGCGTAGGTTGGAGCGCTGATTAGAAGAACACCATTTGGCTTCTACCCTTACTCTGGAAGAGCTGCCATTGGCTTCAAAAAGAATTCCTCCAGATTTGCCAGGATCGTTAAATGCATTAAATGTTCTGTTCTTTAGACTATCTGTTCTCAAACTATCCTCGGCTTTATAGCACCTGCAATTAAGTAATGTGACTAACATCTGCCACGTATGGTTTATTAGCTCTCTTCAAACCCTTCTTGGAGTATAATTGTCTCACATCTTCTATTGGAAAGGGTTTGTCTTTTTTTTTTTTTTTTTTAATTTGAAACAGTAATCAATTAATTGCATGTTGCGTGTATGGCGAAAGGTTTGCATCGGCCCTGAATTCTTTGGGGAACTCTTTCCACAGCCCCAGCCTCTTCTAAACTGAAAAAGTTTAGGTTCTTTTTGCTAGATTGCTCGTTTTGGCCACAGCAGCAGAAGTGTTAACCTTAGTCTTCTTTCTTGAGTTTCAGATGCTGTTCTAGATATGGTAGATCTGGGGAAAAATGCCTTGAAGACAAGAACTAAAAATATAATGATAATTACAATAAACTATAACCAAACTATATAATAACTAAAACTTTGAACTTGACTTAGTACTGCCTAAGATTGCAATCCAGGTAGCAGAGAACAGGCTTTATATGCTTGCAGTAATCCACAGTGCTGAGGCAGTCTTCTGCATTAGCTGAACTTTCCTAAGGGATGATGGCATCCTGACCGTGGTACTTTGTGTTGCCGTGGTTCTGATGGCAAGTGGCCTGTATAATTCAGTCAAGTCATTGTCCACCAGATAGAACAAAGTCTGAAGCCAATAGGGGATATCGAAAGCACTATCCATAAATGCTACTTTGCAGAACATTATGTCACCAAGAAGGACAAAATGACCTATTTTGGTGTTTCCACCAGAGGAAAGCACACCATGACTGCAGACTGTTCAGAGTACTTGCCTACATCCAGTAATATCACCTGCTTTGCAAATGTCTCAGATGTTTTCATCAGGGAGTTGATCTCAGGCAGTAGGCTTTCTTGTGGTAGCAGTAGGATGGTGTGTTTACAAGTACAACATGAGGTATTACTAGGTAAATATTCAGTGTGTTTATTGAATTAACTCTGCAGTGATGCAGACAGAAAACTGTACTTCTACTGGAAGACTCCAGAATGCATTGTGATCAGGGGGGAGAAAAAAAAAAAAAGAAATTACAGGATAGCAAAGCATTTACTGTTTCTTGTGGAAAATGTAATTGACATTGCCTGGTGATACAGGAGAAGTAATGCTTGCCAACATTTCAGTCCTCAAAGTTAAGACAAAAGGATCCTAATCCCCCTGAGCAGCTGCTATCCAGGAATTAACCACAGGAATTCACCCCCTCATGTCATTTCTGGAATGAATCTTGGTCATATAATAACTAATCGGAAGATTAAGGAATGAGAGTCGATCAATTATCTGAAAATCAAGTACAATGTTATTTAACTTTCAGAATGCACAAGCAAAATAGGGTGGTAACATTTGCTCTGTGTGAGGTCTGATGTATAACTCTGTCCTGCCTGGGAGATAGGACAACCATTCTATTCTGAATTTCAGTAAATCGATACTGTATTTGTCCTGGAGTATATAAACCAGTTTTAAGCACAAGCTGAAATACTTATTTGAATGAAGCTTTTTCTGTTGGATCTCTACTTTGAAAATGACCTTAAAAGTTGACAATGGCTTTGGTCTTTTGAAGAAATGTAAACTAATTTCCTGCTTCAATTTTTAAAGTCGTATGTGAAACCATCAAACTGCAGTGGTTTAAACTAACTGTGCTCTGGAAAATATGTAAAACTTCCAAACATTTATTGCAACATGCCTAATAATGATTATGCCTGCTGCTGACTAATTTACAACATCTGTAAGAGCATCCTTTAATCTCTAGCCACATGAAAGTAAAACGGGTAGACTAAAGGTAAGATAAATCCTGGAATGCGCAGGAGAGCATAGCATACTGAATTGGTTTATCAACAAAAAGAATAGTGCAAAGAAGAAGAAACAGAAGACGCCGCAATAGACAGAAATTCTTTACATTGAATATTGTCATCTGTTCTGTGTACTCTGCCATATCTAGTTTGAGAAAGGCAGTGTAATTTTGATGTTAACAAAAAAAAAACCACCCTCCAGTTAAATAAGTCCTTGCATTAAGCTGTATTTGATATACAAGCATTTATGTCTAAAAATCATATGCTTACGAGATTGTTCAGCTGTTGGGTTGAACATATGCTTCTTCTGCATTATAGTGCTGGATTATGTCATTAAAGAGTTCGGTTTCAATTTTAGGGTAATATGTAAATAGATCATTGTACTAAGGCAGCTGTTAAAGGGACCCCAAGATGAGTTATTTGTTTAGTTGGATGTGTTCAACAATAGCCTTTGTTCGTGAAAGAGCCAGAGCAAACAAATGATTGTAAAAGGGCACACTTGAAAACAATTACTTTTCACCCATTCCTTGACAGCCTTGGCTGTGAAACCATCCAAGGTAGAGAGGACTTCTTTGCCTGTCGGGCTGTGAGCAAACTTTTAGAAAAACTGATATTACAACATTTGACTGGGAAGTAGTAGCCCTTCATAAACAAGGGGACGCTGCAGAAAACTAGAAGACCAAAAGTTAAATGTCAACAACAGGATGCAAAAATCTTACTTGAGCCAGTGCAATGTTGTATCTGCTCAACATGGTAGCTCCATCTTTGTTCCCAAAACCACAGGCAATGCTAGTGTTTTCATTATAAACACAGATCAATAATTTGGTCAAAAATTCTCAAAGACCCGGCATCTTTCTTAACCAAGAAGCTCTTATGAAAAAGTCTACTGAGCATGCTCAATTTTTTTTTTTTTTAAGAGAAACTAGCATTCAGATTTCTATTAACGTCATAGCTACTCCATAGTGTAAATACGTGATGGAGTTTTAAAAAGCTGGTTTTGGAACTGTAGTAGAACAGTTTAAAAAATGTGCTTTTAGAAAAGTTCCATTCAAATGTATTCCACAGTAGTTTGCCATGTCTTTTATGGAATGACCACCTCGTTCTGTCAAGTATAAATGACATGTATTTTGACATTTTTTCTAAACGGATATTGATATGGTAAAGCAGATTTGTGAGCTTCATAAATCTTAATCTTTGGTGAAAAACAGTCTGATTTTAAAACCCTGTAAAATAATATACCTTAAGAAGTGTCATTTATATTTAAAAAAACAGGTTCAATGGCTCAGAAATAGCTACTGTGGCATATATGGTCAGTCCTTCACATTTATAGCAGGTTTTTAGTGCGTCAGTAAAAAAAAAAAACCAAAACCAAAACCAAAAACCAAAACAACCCAAAAGGACTTAAAAGATATTTTCAAGGAATAGTAAGAAGAGGAGAAACCCTTCAACTGCTTGGAGATTGAAAACAAACCAAAATTCAATTTCCAGTTTACTGCATTCAGCCAATTACTGCCAGGGTCTCCAAGCAGTGAATAATCTCGGTAGCATATATGCCACTGAGACATTGCAAACAGGGTGAATTAAGGACATATTTTCTCATCCTTATTATTTTTTTTTCTTTTTTTTTTTTTTTTCTTTTTCCCAGCTAGATCTTTCAGGTTATCTGTGTGTGGTTATTTTACAGTTTAATTCAATTATCACACAGGAGCTTAATGACACTGTCTCTAGACAACATGAAGAAATATATCTGCCTTGAATCTCAAACTGCTGCTGCATATGGTATGAATAAAGAGAGATCTGCAGCTGAAAACCTGCAGTAAGACAGTTCTCACTCATCTGGGAATAGAGGGGGTAGGACAAATGCTCCCTCAAAAGGCATGAACATTTGGACAGAGCTGGGGACTGAAGGAGAATGATGTTCTCCAGTTTCACCCATTAGTGAACCAACTAACAAACACAATGGTGTTGTTGTTATTCTTTTGCCATAAGCAACAGGACTCTGTGTGTGGGCAGCAGTTTAGTGGGGAGGAGGATAAGTCGACCCCTTTTTGTCCTATTGATTTTTTCCTATTTGCATGACTTGAGCAAATTAAATGATGCAATATGGCTTTTTGTTACAAAACAAAGTGAGAGATACCACCCAGACACATATGTTGATTCGTAGAAGCTGTTTACATGAGAATGGAGTGAAATCTACCGTGAACTGAGCATAAAAATTCGATTCAGGCTGGGTATTTTTATTTTTATTATGCTTGGGCCAGCAAGACTGAAACACAAGTTTTCCAAGAGTCTCTCAGACCTTGACAACTACAGAGTTGTAACTGAGGAATTCTTAATTAAACCTAAACCAGGATGGAAAAAAAAAAAATAAAAAGAGGGAGAGAGAAAAGAAAAAAATAGAAAGACACCTGATTGTTTATTTCACGTGCAGTGATTCTTAATGACATTATTCAGCAACTTCCTCCCCGTGCGTAGTACCCCTGGATGCAACGCTGGTCATCCCAGCAGAGCTTCCCAAACACGGTCCTGCAGGGTTAGGTACCAACGCGGTGCGAAAAGCTACAGCAACAGGCTTGATAAGCCGGAATTTAACTTGCTGAAGGATGCGGAGAACTGACCATTTTAAGAAATCGGTGAGCAGAGGAGGTGCTTGCCTTTCACATGACCGCAGCTTGAAGTTGGGCAGGGAGGCTGCCAGGTAAATGCGAAAAGGCAGACCGCCTGACGGCACCTTGTGCCAGACACCGGTCCTGAGCGGGGGCTGCCAGACCCGCGTCCCCCAGCGGGAACTTCGGGGGCCTTTTGCAGCCGGTACCCGTCACCCGGGGTGATACACGGCCCCCGAGGAGGCGCTGGGGATCGCGAAGTTTTGCTACACCGGCACCACCTACCACCCAAACCCCGTCCTGACTAAACACGTGGAGCAAATCGCACAAGATTTTTCACCCCAGAAAAAATCGAACCGGAAACCACCGCCAAGCCCGTGCACAGCCCGGGGCGGCAGC